CACATGCGGTCCCCAAAATGTACCATTTTAACCACATACTATACAGTTAAATGGCACTGAGTACAATCACATTGTTGTTAACCATCACCACCATCCAGCTCCAAAACTTTTTCTTACTGCCAAACTGAAACTCTGTTTCCATTAAATAACAGTGGGCTTGTCCTTCCAGGTCTTGGAAATGATCATTCCTTTTTCTGTCTGCGAATTTGACTTATCTAGGTATCTCATGTAAGTGAAATCACAAAATATTTGTCCTTTTTTGTCTCGTTTATTTAATTTAGCATAGTGTCTTCAAGGTTCGTCCATGTAGCATGTACCAGAACTTCCTCTTTTCCAGGCTGGATAATGTTCCCTTGTGAATGTGTATCATATTTTCTGTAGTCGTCCGTGGACACATGGGTTATTTCCACCTTCCAGCTATTGTGAATAATGCTGCCGTGAACACAGGTGCACACCTATGTATTGGAGTCTCTGCTTTCAGTTATCCTTGGTATATAGTCTGCAGTGGATTTGAGGTTAAATATTAAGTGTTCTGTGACAACAGAAAAAGAAAAAATAGGGGCTAGCAGGTGGCATGTGGTTAAGGCACTGGATCCTACATGGCCTACTGTGCAGTTCAAGTTCTAGACCCAGTGGCTTGAAAAATATCGGACCAGCAGCTGGTATAGTAGTTAAGGTGCTGGACGTTCCCACATGGCTGACCACAGTTCAAGTCCTGGACCTGATGGCTTGCTTTCTTACTTTCCCTTTCTCGTTCTGTGTCTGGTCAAACTAAAAATAAATGAACGAATAAATAAATAGTTAAAAAAAAAAGAAAAGAAAAAATACGGGGCACGCCTGTCTGTGCATGCCCCAAACCCCTGGAGGAGAATGGAGGAGATGGAATTGATTGCAGCATGGTCATTCCCCTCCCCCCCAGGGGATGGGTGCTTTCTCCCTTTCCCTCTGTGTCTCTCTGCAAGCATACAAGTCTTATAGCAAAAATGAACTAACTAAATAAAAAGAAAAGTAAAAGAAAAGCAAACCATGAAGTCCAGATCACCTATTCCCCTACTCCAGTTTCTCCTGAAACTATCTGTCAGAGAGGCTTCTCTGCTCGCCTCGGTCCCCATAAACCCAAATAGCAGTTCTTTCTCATCCTCTGTTGGAAGGCGTTGTGGGAGGTGGGCTTTTTACGTGCCTCGGCCACTAGGTCTGCGGCTTCTGTGGGGCTTGTCTGCACTGGCGCATTTGATAAAACTGAGTGGATGGCTGAAAGAAAGTTTCTGATTGTCCGTGTCTGTTACAAAAACTACCTACAAAATGCATTGCGTTTATTATTTCAATGCAGGACAACTCCCAGTGTTTTTAGTTTGACAACTTTTGATATATTAGAGGTCCATTCTTCTCTGAGGATCAGTATGTTTATGTCCTTAGCCACAGAGAAAGGATTCTGACCATTGGAGGTGGTGGAGCCTGGGGAGTTCAGTGGCCAACTTTGACTTTCAATTAGTTCTTGCATCTTCAGCAGAGACCCTGGAAATGGGATTTAAGATTCTTTGGGTCTGGGGCCAGCAGATAGCATAGTGGTTACATCGCTGGTCTCCCCGATAGCTGACTGTGGATTGAGCCCTGGACATGGTGGCTTGAAAAATCACACTGGGCATGTGTATGTGCATGTCCAAAATCTCAAGAGGAGAATGGAGGAGAAGGGATTGCGGTGTGGTCATTCCCCCTGGTTTCTCACTTTCCCTCTAAATGTCTCTGTCTCTGTCTTCCCAGTGAGTGCACGTGCCCTAAGGCAAAAACCTCTGTGGGGAGGAGAGATTCTTCAAATCTGTCTGACAGTCTGGTGGAGAACAGAAGGTCCTCTGTGGCTAAGACCTGGGAGACAGAACCTGGGAATGAGTCCGTGTGACTTCATCTAAGCTTCTGTAACTCTCTATACTTTAGTTTCCTTGTCTATAAAATAGAAAGAATACCTACACAGAGTTATTGTGTGCCTGAAAGGAGAAAATGTATATTAAATCATGAGGCACAATACCTAGCAGCTAGTGCTTAATAAATGCTTGTTGTTATTATTAGGAGGCAGCAGACAAAGGTAGCATATTTGGGGATGGAAAACCGGGCCTCGAACTTTTGCCCAGGTCAAGTCTATTGACGTGATCTATAGATTTTCTGTCTATGTGGCTAGCCAGAACTTTTTTTTTTTTTCTCCACCAGTAGGAATGCAGAGTTCCTGATTTTGTGAGTTTAATATGAAAACAACATTTGGATAATTTCAACCCCAATTGGGAAATGTCATTGACACTACATTTTAATGTAATGTGCATATGTGTAACTTCCCTGTTTAAGGTAGAGTCAGGATTTTCCCGTTTGTCCAGACTTGCTGAATCTGTTTCATTATTCTCTGTAATAGTTAGAGGATGCTGACGCCATCCTTCTTAATACAAGTGGAATCTTGTTATATTGAAGTTAGGTTTTGCCAGGTTTTCCTCTATGTGCGAATAGTCGTGAGATCCAGTTGGCTGCATCCTCTGCTTAAGCTGCCTCGGAGCTCCTAGCAGCAAAATGAAGCTGTGCCTTTGCGCTGCAGTCACACGTGCTCCCGTGTGCTTCACAGCTCCCTCGGCATCCGTACCTGGTGGAGAGCTATTGCCGTCCTTGGCCATTACCGTGATGACCGCTGACTCGAACAGTTGTAAAGATGGAAGCAACTTCTGAGGCCATGGGGGACGTAGAATCAGGCTTTGCTTTCCACAGTCACCAAAACTTACCTCTCTGCTGTTTGAGCCAAAGCTGTGCGGGCAGGAAATACCGTGTTAATTCCCCGGAAGTTCAAGATTAAAGTGATGTGATGTGGAGTTCCTTTCAGGACTCTGGGGTGTAGTGGTATGGCCGTCCTCCCTAGGGGGCGATGTCTCACTTTCCCTCTCACTGTCTTTCTCTCTCTCCTCTGTGAGCACATGTGCTCTCACTTTCCCTCTCACTGTCTTTCTCTCCCCCGTGAGCACATGTACCCTAAGTCAAAAAACCTCTTTAAAAAAAAAAAGTTTCTTTCTTTCTTCAATGAGCAAGAGACAGAGTATTTGAGGCCAGAAGCCTTACCTTTTACTCTAACCCATTGCTCTACTTCGGTTCCCATTTCTAGTCATAGAGTTATACAACACTGGAATTGGAAGAGAATTTTTAACTTAGACTAGCATGTCACATAGCTTCCCTTTCTCTATGGTTTGGCTCCCTCTCTCCCTCTATCCTGCTGGCTCTGAGAGCCAGTGGCTACAGGGTCTCTGCTCTCTCCAGTACGAATCTACGCCCTGCAGTATCTGAGGGACTTCTTCCTGGCAGGTGGTTAGTGACCCGTCACACTGAGCAGGCCCAGGTCAGCTCTGTGGCATTTTAACTTGCTCTTCCAATTCTCCTGATACCAAAACTACTTAAAGACATCACAATTGGGAACCAGCAGTTAGCGTAATGGCTATGTCGCTGGACTCCCACGTAGTCGACCGCAGTTCGTGTCCCGGACCCGGTGGCTTAAAACTCACGCCGGGCGCGTGTGCGTGCATGCCCAAGATCCCGAGAGGAGAATGGAGGAGAAGGGATTGCGGCGTGACCATCCCCCCTGGGGGGTGATTTCTCGCTTTCTGTCTCTACGTCTCTCTCTGTCTGTCTGGCGAGCGCACGCGCCCTACAGTGAAAATCTCTCCAAAAAAAAAAAAAAAAAGACATCACAATTAAAAACTTCGGAATTAAAAATTCTCCTGATACCAAAACTACTTAAAGACATCACAATTAAAAACTTCAGACTTTATGAATATATATGTTAAAATGTTCAACAAAATATTAGCAAACTGAATCTAGAAACATAAAACAAAAGGTTTTTACACCATGACCAAGTGGGATTTATCCTCAAATGCAAAGTTGGTTCAGTATGCAAAACTTAATGTAATACACTGTATTAAAAGCCATGAATAGTGAAGTTCTGACATATGCTAAAACATGGGGGACATTGGCAACATTATGCTAAGTGAGATGCTAAACTCAAAATATTTGCAGGTACCTTCTATAAAATGTCCAGGATAGGTAATCCTATACATGCAGAATCCTATACTTGCCTCCTTGCCAGGGGCTGGGGAGGTGAGTTCATGGAGAGGGACTGATAGTGGGGATGAGCTTTGTTTTTGGAGTGATATTCTGGAAATCCTGCTGTTACTGTGCAATCCTGTGACTGTACTAACACTTGCTCATTTGAATACTTTCATATGATGAATTTTATGATCTGTGACTTATTTCTCAATAATAATAATAATAATAATCATAGATGAACCATATGGCCCAGCCACAGAAGGGCACCACAGACACCACTACCCAGCAAGCTGAGGCCATATGCGAGGCCTGGGTTCGATTCCATCCCACCCTAAAGGCTGGTGTGGTTGTGTGCCCTTGTGGTCTCAGCTACTCAGGAGGCTGAGGTAGGAGACACGAAGAGACCCTGTGTGCAAAACACCATGGGGGCATACACACACAATCTCCCCCCCACCGCCCCCGCACACAGAGTGTAAAAACAGAAGGGATCCTGTAACATCTAGCTGAATGCTTAGGGCAAATAGATAGTCAAATAAATATAAGTTAATTGATGGATGACAAGAACTGCTGGAAATCTCTCTCTCTCTCTTTTTTTTTATTTTTTTTTAAGCATTATTGTATTTAACTTTATTTATTTATTTGACCAGAGAGAAAGAGAGAGGGAAAGTGAGAAAGCAAGCTGCTAGGTCTGGGACTTGAACCAGCCAGGTGGGAACCCAGCGCCCTTACCCACCACGCCAGCTGCTAGCCCCTGAAAATCTTTTTCTAGACCACAAATAACATGCATTGATCACTGAATTATAGGGGTTGAAATAAGTTCTGAGTAGTTAGACCATGTAACCGCGAAGAATGCATCTCAAGAGCTGTTTCTGGTACAGACTAAATTCTTAATTTCCAACTTTCCCTCCTAAGCGTTGTTTTCATTCTACTTCCAGCATCAGTATGACCACCTGCTCCACTGTGGCTGCCCTGGGAATGATGCCCCTCTGCCTTTATCTCTACACCTGGTCCTGGAGCCTTGAGCAGAGTCTCTCCATTCCCTATCAGAACATAGGTCAGTACTGGGCTGGCGGAATGGAGCTGTGGCAATATGGTGATGGTGCTAATTATAATTACAGCTGTTGTTGATTGCATGTCTCCTTATGCAGGGATCTTTTGGTATTACCTAACTTAATTCTCTAAATAATGCTACAGTGTCGATTCTAATACTCGTTCAACTTGCTAGATTTTCAGGCTTAAAGTCCAGGTAACATGACCAAGATAGCGCAGCTTCTTAAGTGCCGAGCTGGACTCTGACTTGGGAAACTGACTGCGAAGTTCAGACTCAACCTCTGCAAGTGTATACTTTTGAAAAGAAAGAGGGCTGGCCTCTTAGCCTCGTGGTTAAGAGAGCTGGATTCCACATGGCCAAGTGCAATTTAAAACCCAGTCCCAGTGGCTGGCAAAATAGGAGGTGCATGTGTCGTGTGCATTCCTGAATCCCAGCAGGATGGAGAACCGAGAAGGATGGCATGACCACACCCCATGCGGGCGCTTTCTCTCTTTCTCCAACACTCTGTCTCTGGTAAGCACATGCGTCCTCTAGCAATATAAAAAAGAAAGAGAAAAACGTTAAAAAGTAGAGAACTTACTTTTTTAAAAAAATTATAACATTAGACTATAAAGCAAACGGATTTTCTATGACCCAAAGTTAAACTTAGACCTTAGTTTCTCTAGCTTCATCTTTCACACTGCCTGTGAGCATTTGCTTTTCTTTTTTTAAGAGAGATTTTTGCTATAGGGCATGTGTGCTTGCCAGAGAGAGAGACAGAAAGTGTGAAATCACCCCCGAGAGGGGATGGCCATGCCACAATCCCTTCTCCTCCATTCTCCTTTCAGGATTTTGGGCACACACACACATGTTCTTGGCATGTTTCAAACCTCCAGGTCTAGGACTCAAACCGCAGTTGACTATGTAAGAGTCCAGCAACATAACCATAACGCTGTCTGCTGGCCCCTGAACCTTCACTTTTCTTACATGTTGAATGGAAATGAATCCTACTGATTTAAGGTCCCTCTGCGTGGTATGGCCATGCCCATATCTCTTTCATTGTCTCCCTTCCTGAGTGTTATTTCTCATTAAACCCTGCCCTTTTTTTGTTTTTTTTTTTTGTTTAAAGAATTTTATTTATTTATTATTTATTTAATTTTGACTAGAGACGGATAGAGTGAGAGCAAGAGTGAGAGAGAAAGTGAGAAAGCAGGCTGCCACGTCCAGGACTTGAACCGTAGTCAGCCATGTGGGAGTCCAGTGCCCTTAACCACCACGCCCCTTTTTCTAAAGGTGTCTGTGAACTTACTGGACTTGGAAGAGAAATGCAGTAAAATGATCTGCCTGTTAGTCAGCCATGTGTTTTTTTTTTTGGAGAGGTTTTTGCTATAGGGTGTGTGCGCTCACCAGAAAGACAGAGAGAGACAGAGAGACAGAAAGTGAGAAATCACCCTCCAGGGGGATGGACATACCACAATCCTCCTCCATTCTCCTCTTGGGATCTTGGGTACGCATGCACACACACCCGGCGTGAGTTTAAGCCACTGGTCCGGGACGCGAATCACAGTTGGCTACATGGGAGTTCAGCGACATGGTTCCCCTCTTGATCAGAGTCTTTGAAGAAGAGAAAGAAACTAAGATTTTTAAAACTCGAAAGTGTCAATCTGGGGTCTCAGTTAAGCACCTGGAGGGATTATAACTCACGACCCATAGTTCACAACCATGAATACAGCTTTCTCCTGATCTTAGCTAGAGGCCATTGAATATATAAAATTTGAATGAAACCTTCACTTAGAAACCGTGATTTTACTTACGTGTGGATTTTTCTGATCAGTACTCTGTCCCAGCCTCCCAGTTAGCTAGGGCCATCGGCAAGCTGCCACCACGCCCAGCCAGTTTTAGGTTGGGCAGGGAACCGAACCTGGGACTCCCATGTGGCCTCAGTCACCATGCAGGGCACCTCGCTGCCTTTGCCACCACAGCTGGCTGGTATATTCTGTTTTGATACCATGTCCTGGAAGGCGCTCATTAACAACTAAAGCCTGAAGTATTAGGAGCAACGTGTATAGCTTTTGAGCAGGGAATTAGGCTTCTGCAGACTCGGAAGGTGGCCCTGGAACACAAGGGTGGCTCCCGTGGGCGAGTGGGCGGTCACCTCGGCTCTACTGGGACTGCCTTAAATGCCTAGATTCACCTGTGCTAATTAAAAGGTGTGTTTTCGACCCACCTTTGGGTTCCCCGGCTACGCTCAGAGAACGTGAGAAATTGCTGTGGTGGAGTAACAGATGCCATTCTGTCTGTGATAGGTCTCTTTACTTTGTGGGGCAGATGACTCATTGGCCTCAAGTAGGGGAACAATAGCTATGCTTGTAGAGGGGTGACACCTAGCTATTGTGACCAGAGGATTTTGCTGACGTGAAATGGCCTTGTGTTTTCATCCTTACACTGGCTTTTGTCTCTACAATTCCCTGTGGTTGTCAGAGGGATTCTGCGAGGGAAAGCAGGCACGGGTGTGGCGGCAGTCACTAAGATCACACCCTCCAGAGACTGTCTTCCACAGACTTTTTTGCTGTGTTTTGGAAGTGGATGCAGAAATAAAATGCAGCTTTATCGAAGCTGTTAAATAATTGAAACAGGAATTGTCAAGAAGGCCTGGGCTACTCGGCGAGAGGGGACACTGTCTGATGGCTCACTCTTCTCTTTAGGAATTACCCTGGCGTGCCTGACCATTCCTGTGGCCTTCGGTGTCTATGTGAATTATAAATGGTCAAAACAGTCCCAAATCATCCTCAAGGTGAGCGGCTCCGCGTGGGTCACACGTGCTAGACTCGGGGGCGCGGAGGACGTCAGTAGGTGGAGACTGGGATGAGCGAGTGTGCCCAGCAGTTTTCCTGTGTGTCCTTGTGTCCTGCAGTGTTGGATTCAGTCCTCGGTTTCCTCCCCTTCTTTTTAAATTTTAAAAAATAATTATTTATTTAATTTTACTTATCATTATTTTAAAAATTTGTTATAGGGCATGTGTACTCACCAGGGAGGAGAGAGAGAGAGAGAAAGAAAAGTGAAGAGAGAGAGAGAGAGAGAAAGAAAAGTGAAAAAGCAAGCTACCAGGTCTGGGACTCCAACCCTTTTGGCCATGTGGGAGTCCAGCACCTTAACCAGCGTGCTACCCTGCTGGCCCTTCTCCCCTTCTTTTTCTTTTTTAGAATTATTTTATTTATTTATTTAAATTTGACCAGAGAGGGACAGAGCGAGAGAGCGAGAGAAAGAGAGAGAGAAAGCAAGAAAGTAAGCTGCCAGGGCCAGGACTCAAACCACAGTTGGCCATTTTGGAGTCCGGCGCCCTCAACCACCATGCCACCTGCCAGCCCTCCTTTTAGAATTCTTTTATTTTGTTATTACGATTATTTAATTTGACCAGAGAGAGAGAGAGAGAAAGTGAGAAAGCAAGCTGCCAGGTCTGGGACTTGAACTGCCATTGGCCATGTGGGAGTCCAGCACCTTAACCATTATGCCACTTGCTGGCCCCCCTCCCCTTCTTTAAGCCTTGCTCTATCAGCTCAGTAGAAGGCAGACTTCTGAGAGCACGTTACCAGTGAGGGGTCTCAGAGTTGTTAGGGTGCTGGATGCTTGCTGTCAGCCGTTCCACTTAGTTCACAGCTTTGTCCTATCCATCTAAACACTCCAGTCCTTCTGACGAAATCCTTTACCTGAAGGGAAAGCGTGTTACCTAGAATAAGAGGCCTTAGATTTGTGTTGGACCTCACCCTTATCTAGCCGAGTCAAGTCACTTGACCACTTTGGAACTCAAGGTTTCAAACCTTTTAGAGCCTTGATGGACTTTACATCATGGAACAAAAAGGTCATGCTGTATGGCCAGCGACAGGCACACAGGCAGTAGGGAGGTGCTGCAGGGAACTAGAGACCATCTGGGAAGCAGCAGGTTCGTGTCCTTGGCCTGCCTGAGCATGTGGGCATGCGTGATCCTGGTTGGCTGCCACATGTGGGGATAGGATCAAGGTGTAGGGACCCGTGTCTCCCAACCTCAGGAAATAAAGAAAGCTTAAAACTGAAGCTGTGATGTTTACATGTGCTTGTTTTATTGCCTTGACGCAGCTCGGGGCCATCATCGGTGGGGTCCTCCTGCTGGTGGTCGCGGTCGCTGGTGTGGTGCTGGCAAAAGACTACTGGAACTCAGACACTGCCCTTCTGACCATCGGCTTCATCTTTCCTTTGATCGGCCACATCATGGGCTTTCTCCTGGCACTTCTTACCCACCAGTCTTGGCAAAGGTACGATGAAATAACCCATGAACTTTCAGAGGAAGGTGCTGGCAGGTTTTGCTGCCTGGCTAGATCAGGAGGCATGAAGGGTTAGACTTGCACAGAGAATGGAACAGGACAGCTCAGCACTGAGAGGGTGAAGAGATCATGGAAATTCTTTTTTTTTTTTTTTTTTATTGTCAACAAATCATTTTCCATTTCTTGTTTTCTGTATATTTTGCCTTTTTTCCCCGTCTTTGATTCCCTATCTCACCCTCTGCCATCTCCCACCCTCCTCCCACACTGTGTCTGGTATCTATTGTTGCTTTCTATGCCTCCCCCATTTTATTGTTTCACTAAATATCTTAATAAATCTAAATATTTTCAATAGCAAGCACAGCTGATATGTACATATCCGTGAACACAAGTCTGACTTCAGGCATAAACCTCAGTGAATAGAATGAACATACTATAAAGTAGCACCTAACTAGGTCTATGTAGCTTAACTGTAGTCATCAAATAAGTATTTTTAATGCTTTTTTTTCTTCTGAAATTTTTTTAAATTAATTTACATTCATTCCCTGAGATGGAAATTCTTTATGTCAACCAAGAAAGGCCCAAATGGGTAAATTGTAATTTGTGAAATCAAGATTGGGGTGAGACGGGGATACATTTCTTTTTTTTTTTCTTTTTAATAATTATTTATTTAATTTTATTTATTATTATTATTTTAAAATTTGCTGTAGGGCATATGAGCTTACCAGAGAGACTGAGAAAGAGAGAGAGGGTGAGCCAAGCCACCAGGCCCAGGACTCAAACCATAGTCGGCCATGTGTGAGTCCAGCGCCTTAACCACCATGCCACCTGCTGGCCCCCACATTTCTCTTCTTATTCCAGTATTAACTTAGGAAGAATGATACTGTTTCGTTGAATATAGAAATCAGTTTTTAGGACATTAGCACTTTCAAGAGATTAAGTCCTTATCCATTATTTGTGCTAAATTTTTAAAAATCGCTAATTATAGGATATAAGAGGAAAAGTGGAGGCATAGCTTTGAGAAATAAGATAGTAATGTGTCTTAAATATTTTTATTACAAATTGTGGCATATAATGTGCAAATTCTGTGAAATATTAAAAACGAGAATGCCCTCCTCTGTTACGCCTGAACCAGATGAGCATTGTCACATGATGGAGGGGACGGAAATTGGTACGAGCTCTCCGGAAGGCAGCTTAGTGTCATAGCAATAGCTTTTTACATGTTAATAGTCGTTAACTTAGTCATTTTGCTTTTAAAATCTGTTTTGAAGTTAGCACTATCTGATGTGGACACGAGTATTGATGTGCTAAAATGCTAATGTAGTGTTATTTATAAATATAAAAATGGAAACAATCTAAATATCTAACGATAGGGAGCTATTTAATTCATGATGTGTCCCTAAGATAAATATGATACATCAGTTTTAATGAATTTGGAAATACTCGAGAGAAAGTTAAAATTAAATAGAAAACGGCATGTATTTTGTTCCCACTTAATATAGAAAAAAGCTGGGGCCAGCAGGTGGCGTGGTGGTTAAGGGTACTTGGAATCCCAAGGGACTGACTGGTTTGCGTCCCGGACCTGGTAGCTTGCTGTCTCACTTTCTTACTCTCCCTCTTTCTGTCCCTCTCTGGTCCAATTAAAATAAGCAAATAATAAAGTGAAATAAAATAATTCTTTGAAAAATATAGAATAAGGCAAAACATTTCTATGCATGAAAAAATACTGAAAGAAACACATTGTATGGTAATAGTGTTTAATATTGAATGATGAGATTAAGGCTAATTTTAGTTATTTAATATTTTCTTGGTATATTTTCTAAATTTTATCAATAAAATAAGTATGTACTACTTTTTTTTTGAGAGGTATTATTATTATTATTATTATTATTTTGCTATAGGGCAAATGCGCTCACCAGAAAGACATAGAGAGACACAGAGACAGAAAGTGAGAAATCACCCCCCAGGAGGGATGGCCACGTCACAATCCCTTCTCCTCCATTCTCCTCTCAGGATCTTGGGCATGTACGCACTTGCGCCTGGCATGAGTTTAAGCCACCAGGTCCGGGACTTGAACTGCGGTCGATTACATGGGAGTTCAGTGACATGGCCATTACGCCAACTGCTGGCCCCACTACTTCTTTTTAAAATAGTTTTTTCTTTTCTTCTTTTGCTATGGGGTGTGTGTGTTTACCAGAGACAGAGAGAGGGAAAGTGAGAAAATGCTTCCTAAAATGAATGGCCACACCACAATCCACTCTCCTTCATGCTCCTCTTAGGATTTTGGGCATGTACGCACATTTGCCCAGCATGGCTCTCAAGCCATTTTGTCTGGGACTCAAACCACACAGCCAGGCATGTGGGATTCAGCTGCCTGAACCACCATGCCACTCTGGCTCTGTACTACCTTGTTTTTTTTTTTAGTTGCTGGAGGGTGCATGCACTCATCAGAGAAAGCCAAAGAGAGAGGGAGGAGGGGAGAGAGCAACCCCCAGTGGGGTGTCATCAGACCATAGTCCCTTCTCTTCCATTTCTCTATCCTGTTGGGATTTGAGGCACACGAGCACATGGACCTGATGTGTGTTTCAAGCAGCTGTGTCTGGGATTCAGACCCTGGTTGGCCACGTGGGATCTGTCTCCCTTAACCACTGTGCCAGGGCAATAGCCTATACTACTTTCAAAAGCCAGAAAAGAATCATGAAAGAAAAACCGTCCTTTCCATCTGGCAGCAGCTATCAGGTAAGCCTAAATGAGTGTGTTCATGCTCATTCAGGAGCCACGGAGGAAGCTCGATGTGATGTGTTTTCTTCTGAGAGTCCACGACTGGCAGTACTGTCATCTCTGTGCTCCCCAGGGCTCCCCACTGCACCTGGTCAGATAAAGCACACAGACCGAGACAAGGCTAAGCAAGGCTATGTCACGTATAGGACATAGGGCACACACGGTGCCCTCGGGGCCGCACGTGCCCAGGTACTAAGAGTGCAGCCCATGGCAGGCCTGTTGTCCCTGGTGGTAACCAGCTAACACCTGCTCAGAGCCCCTAGTCTGCTGCAGAGGAGCCAGCTGGACACCACTGTGGAGTTGAGAGCCCTGAATTCCTACTGGATCGGTACAAACGCTTCGAGGTTCTCTTCATTGATCCATTCCACAAAGCTACCAAGAGAAATCCTGACACCCAGTGAGTCACCAAACCAGTTCACAGGCATAGGCGATGTGTGGGCTGACCCTCACAGGCTGCAAGAGCCGCGGCCTAGGGAAGGGCCACATGCTCCACCAACTGCCGGTGGTTCTTGCTGGGATAAGGCACAATATTCTCCG